ATACGTTTTCACTTTCTAATTTGTGGAAAGGAATCTTGACCGGTCGGAGGCCGACCACCAACCGCCTCTAGTAACCTCGTTCTCCTTCCCCCCGCAGGCCCTCCGTCGGCGCCCGCCCACCTCATCTCCAACGTGAACGAGACCTCGGTGAACCTGGAGTGGAGCCCGCCCCTCGCCTCGGGGGGGCGCCTGGACCTGACGTACAACGTGGTGTGCAAGCGCTGCGGGCCCGACGGCCGGCGCTGCCAGGCCTGCGGCAACGGCGTCCACTTCAGCCCTCAGCAGCTGAGCCTGAAGGGGACCAAGGTGTCCATCAACGAGCTGCAGGCCCACACCAACTACACCTTCGAGGTGTGGGCGGTGAACGGGGTGTCGCCTCAGAGCCCCGGCCCGGAACAGGCCGTGTCCGTGACCGTCACCACCAACCAGGCCGGTAAGAGGGACGCTCACGCACGCCGGACCGCGGGGCCTTCGGGTCGATTCGGGGGTTCGGGGTGTCTTCGGTAACCATGACTACCTGTGGTAATTTACCGGGGTCCCGTGACTGAAGAAACGCTGCCTGACCGTGCATTGAACCAGCGGTTGCAGGTTATCTTTTTGAGATTGGAAGCAGCAGCTGACAGATACAATCGTTTCTTCCAGATCCCCTCAGAAGCTTTTGATCCTCGTATTCGACACAGAGACCCGTTTTGTTACACGAGGCGCTCGGTGGGCTCGCCGGGGGGCTGGCAGGGGGGCTGGCAGGGGCAGTCTGCATGTGGAAACAAGTGTGAATAATTTGGGTTGGGCTGGTTGATTGTTGAGGAGGTTGACGGATTATCTTCAGCGGGAGATGATTTTCTGCAGTATTTTTTCGCTTTTGCATAATTAGGCACGAGGAGTCGAGGATGGAGATCAGCAGCCAACGTGCTATATTTGGCTCTGGAGCTAATGAATTAGATGAGTTGTATTGATCTGTGGAGGCTGCATTGCAAATGCTGCTGGATCCTCCTGCATCCTCCAGCGCTGGTCCGGGGGCTCAACGCCTCCCGTTGTTTTGTCATTTAGCCAGTTTGTAGCCGGTTGTTGTTGTGCAAATGGATTTTTTACGTCCCGGCTTTTTCTCTGCACCCCCCCCACACACACACACACTTATCATTACCCCGGTCTTCTTTACTGCTCTGCTCCTGGGTGGCAAGCAAAGTGCCTTTTTATCACTAATTCCCATCCCAGGGAAAAAAAAAGTGAATACCTTCTGACCTCCAATATGAGGACACAGCGGCTTGATTTATAAGGGGGGGGATGGCGGTGAATGGAAGGGCCGCAACAGCGCGGTTGCACCGGCACAGGGGTGCGCAAAGACCCCCCCCCCCCCCCAGTCCGCACTCCGCATACGTGGATTCAAAATAAGAGGAGGTAAGGTAATAAGAGGAACCCCCCCTGCGAGGTTGCTCAAGGCTAATCTGCTGACTCTGAGTCTTCAAATATAGATGATGTTACCTTTGGCTCGTCACCAGTGCATGTTTCACAACTGTTCCCCAGGATTAGATATATGAAGCCTGCAGCTGGAAGCTCTATTACGACGCGTGTGCGTGTGTGTGTATGTGTGTGTGTGTGTGTGTGTGCATGCGTGGGTGTGTTTGCACTTGTGCCAAAACCGAAAATCGAAATGCGAAAATGCTTTACGCAGAATGCATCCGTGGATGGAAGGTCTGCACACTGCACACAGCAATGTCCTCCGCGTGTCCGCTGGTGCGCCTTCCGATTTGTGCGCGTGTGCGCGCGTTAAGGAGAGTAGCTCCAGACTGATTGGATTCCTAATGCTCGGTCGGGGGCTTTTGGAAGCTCCGGTTTCAGCCGCCGGTAATCCCGCCAGTCATGTGCGGCTGTTGGCGCACACGTGTGTGTGTGTGTGTGTGTGTGTGTGTGTGTGTTTCCATACGTGCCGTACATGTGGAAATGTGTTGGGGGGAGATGGAAGCGGGCTCCTCGCGGCGCGGTGGACGGTATTGGACGCGGGAGCCATTTTCTACACAAGTTTCCCGCCACGGATATTTTTCCTCGGCTGGCGGGAAAATCTGGCGACTCCAATCTGCACCCCCCCCCCCACCTCCCCACTCCCCCGCGCCGCCACAGACCGAACTACACCGACAACTCTGCCATAGTGCGCGCATAGCGTGAGATAATGGGACTAGGTGTGTGCTTTTCTGTGTTAGTGTCTTTCTTTCCGTTTGCGTAACGAGGTCATTTGTGTTGCTGTGTGTGTGTGTGTGTGTGTGTGTGTGTGTGTGTGTGTGTGTGTGTGTGTTGCAGGCTGTGAAAGACATTTATTTCTTTTTTTCAGGAGCACACAATACTGAAAATGAGGTCTGAATATTCATCGCGTCCCACACTTATCATTCCGCCAGCGTTCCTTTGCCCACGCGTTGAGGAGGCAGTAAGAAATTGCAGATCTGCCCCACACGTTTAAATGCCTCTCCAGAGGCGTCCGTGGTGCAGCATCGTCGGCCCAAGTCTCCGCCTCGCGTTAAAACGCTTCAGGTTTAGCTTTGCGTCAAGCATTGCTGGCCCGGTACGCACGTGGTTTCGACATAACTTGACGATATTTCTTCCTCTGACTAATTCCCTCTTAAAAAGACGTAGAGGAACGCTTGATGGATCGGCGATCTCGTGCCTGGCTGTGTTAAACCTTGCAGCCTCGCGTTGGAAACCTCAGCAGGGACCACTCAGAAAATCACTCATCTTTATCCTCACATTAGTGGAGGGGGAAAAAAAAATTGAAAAAATGCAACAAGAGGAGGAGAACACGATTAAATCGCCATATCTGTCATCTTTGGCGGAAAGATGGATGTGCCGATTACCTCGCGTGGGGCACGGGGGCCTGCGACCCCCTCGGGGGTTTTCTGTCTGAGCCGGAGCGTCCCCGGTCGGGCCCCAGGAGGGCCTTCAAATTGGCTCTGGCTGCCGGGGTAAGATTGATTGGAGGGATACAAATGGCCGCCGTCTAATTGTTTAACTGAGACGCAACACATTAGGCCAACAGGATTACACAACCTCGGGTTAATCTATTTACCAAGAAACGTCTGCAATCCCATCCCTCTCCATCTCCATCTCAACCGCTACCAGTCACAAACCCTCTGCCCCCCCCAACACACACACACACCCGTCTCTTCAACCCCCCTGAAATCCAATCCGAGGCCGGCGTTTGAGTTCCAGGCCCGTTTGAACTCAATCCCCAGCTAAAAGCAGGGGTTTTGTTAGCGTTAGCTCGCAGGCCGGGCTCCCTGGAGCCCCTGGTCAAAGTGATGAGAATGTATATGATGTCCGAGATAATCCACTCATAATCGGTGGACAGCGAACCCCTCATCAATCATCCCACTGTAATTTTTTAAAAGGCAGATGGTCTGGAACGACTTTGGTTACGGCACCGAGGACCAGAGGTCAAAGATTCCATCTCGTGAACCCGTAAGATCAGAGGCCACAATGAGAAGCTCGGTGCAAATGTATATTTTACATTTATTATTAATACTTAGTAGTGCGTTGTTCTGCTCTTTGAAAAATAGATGATTGAGGTTGTTCTGTCATGGGGGGCGGAGGTGTGGACTCGGGACAAAAGGTATCTGAGACAATAAAGGACTCATGACTTTGCTTGGACTTGAGCCCTTTGATTCAAAAATAACAAGTCATTCCAGGAAAGTCAACCCTCAGTTCCCCTGGTCCACTTTTCACGAAATATTATTATTGGATATCGTCCAATAAAGTTTCAGTGAAGAACCACGGAGATAATGTTACGTTAATAAGACCCAGTTGGAAAACATTACCAGAAAGAATTGTTTCCTTCACGCACAACTTTGCAAAGGCAGGACTAAGAAACCAGTATTATTTAACGTGGTGCGTTTGCATGTTTGTGTCTGAGGTCTTTTCACACCTGAGTTGTCCTTCGTGGTCTCTAACTCCACCTCCTCCACCACGTGGCCTCTCCTCCAGTCAGAGCTCCATCAGCGTGTGCAGGTGTTTCTCTGTTCACGACACCTCCTCCCCCACGCCCATAGATATTAAGCGTCCACGGTGGCCATGACCCAATTTCACAGCGTTGTCACCCGCCCCCCCCCCCCCCCAAAAACCAGGGTTGATTTGTGCATTGGCGCACTCGGAGGGAGGGGGCGAGCGTGGGCCATTATCTGTGCTTTAACCTTCACACACGTTAGAGGCGTCTGAACGGAGATAGCGCGGCTGCTTGAAATATGGGCCTCATTATCGGCGGCAGCGGAAAAGGACTCCAGATAAGACGGCTCACTGGGAGCTTTAATGAAAACCAATTGATTTGCTCTCACGGAGACAAAGGAAAACTAAAATTAAAAAAAGTAAACGCAAAAGGCGTGCAGCTCATTTTTCGGGCCCTCTGAGGTGGACTTTGCAGCTGCGCGGGGTTTCCCGGGGTGACCTGCGCATCTAAGAGACGCGTCTGAGGCGCCGGCGTCGCCCCGAGAAGGAAATTGGATCACTCTTTACGGTTCAGGGGTAGAGCGCCGCGACACGCTCCAGCTTCGGGCTCGTAAAAGGCCTCCCATTTTGAATGGAGGCCAAATTTAAAAGACAAATGGAAGTGATTGCCTTGTGGGCCCGGCCCGCCGTTTTGACTTTCTCAGCTGGAGCGAAAGAAAGTGGTGGATTTACTGCGGGAGAGAAACACAAAACAGACTCGGTGTCGCCGAGGCAGTAATAACACCGGAGCACCGGAGAAAGCAGTGGGCTCAAACAGCTTTTTTCCTTCTGCTTTGATCATTTCTCCAGCTCCCTCCCCGGTGACGTCCATCCAGGCGAAGGATATCACAAGACACACCATCTCACTGGCCTGGCACCCGCCGGATAGAGCCAACGGGGTCATCCTGGAGTACGAGGTCAAGTACTATGAGAAGGTGAGGGTCCCCCGTGGGAGACGTACAGTACTTCCTGCTGATGAAAGAAGCTCAGAGATGGAGGCCGCGACCGATTGTAACTCGTGTCCTTTTCTCTCTCTCTCTACCGCCCGCCGTCCTCAGGACCAAAACGAAAGAAGCTACCGGATCATAAAAACCTCGTTGAGGAACACCGACATCAAGAGCCTGACGCCGCTGACCTCCTACGTCTTCCACGTGCGCGCGCGTACGGCGGCCGGCTACGGGGAATTCAGCGGCCCGTTTGAGTTCATGACCAACTCCGGTGAGTTCGAGGCTCGCCGCCGGGAGGCCCGGTTTGCACCGTTAACGATTTTTGTCTCTTTGACCGGCGACTTGAGCAGCTTCCATTTTTTCAATGAGTCTCAGTGGATGCGACAGCCAAAGGTTCAAACTAATTGTACAATTTCTGACAGCTTTTAGCTTCTCACTTAAATGTCTTTAAAAGGTTTGTGTTTGCCAGGGTTCGCCAACGGTTTCCCGGTTTTCCAATCGTTGCTGTCAGCCGCAAACTCAACGCAACAAAAAAGCTACCCACACAGGGAATGACAAATTATGCTAATGCTAGCTGCCGTCGCTAACCCCCGTTTGGTGACAAACACCTCTCAAGTCGTTTTATTGTCCTTCATTTAGTCGTGGTTAGCCCGTTTTAGCATCAAGCTAGCTTTAACACCAGCACGACCTTAGTCGGAACAAAGGATTTCATTGCCGCTAATTTTTTTTTATTTTAGCGGGGGGGGGGAAGTAATCCTCTTTGACTCGTTTCAAAGGGTGATCATGACTTGACGAGAGGGCGAGTCCATCTGTCCCCTTTGTAATGCAGATAGCGGCGGCAGCGCGTGATAACGACGTGGTCAAGAACACATCATTATGGGCCCGGCTTTGTCTCAGCGGAGGATCACAGGGAGGAAGTGGGAGGGGGACGGGGGGGGCGGGGGGGGGACGGGGGGTTCAAACACAGAATGTAAACAGGCTCTTTCATGTGCGGCGACTCGGTTGACCGCAGGGATATTGACTTTGCTCTTTGTTTCTCCCCAACCGTCGCCCCTTTCTCCCCTTTCTCCCCTTTCTCCCCTTTCCCCCCCCCCCCACTTCCCTTTTCCGTCCTCCCATCTTTCCTCCCTTTTTCCTCAGTTCCAGCTCCCATCATCGGCGACGGGGCAAACTCCACGGTGTTACTGGTGTCAGTGGTGGGCAGCGTGGTCCTCCTCATCATCCTCATCAGCGCTTTCGTCATCAGCCGCAGGTGAGCGCCCCCGTCCCCCCCCGTCCCCGTCCCCGCTTCCTGTCCGTCCCTCTTTCCTCCCGGGCGAGGGGATGTCTTGCTTAGCGCCGGGTAAATGTAGCTGTCGGGGAGATGGACGTCACTCAAAAGCGCACACACACACACACACACACACACACACACGCGCGCGCGTCGGATGAGTGATGACATCGCCACACCGGAGACGTGATTGACAGCCGCGACAGCTGAAGAGATGCAATCAGCGACCCCTCGCTCCCGCTGTCCTCTCGCATCCGTCCCCGGCTCCCTCTATCGCTCGCCTGGTGGCTGAAATCCCGACCGCCAGTCATTTCCTCTCCCGCTGCGGCCTGCCGCCCCGGCGCGAGGACAGCGAGCGAGCGAGCGAGCGGGGAGAGAGAGGAGATGAGATGAGCGGCGGAATGAAAAGCAGCAGACGGAACGGAGACCGGGGGCGAGCCGGAGAGGCATCAGGTGGATTTGCAGTGACCCAATCTCAGGGTGTTAACCAGCGAGCGGGACAAAGCACCGGCGCACAGATGGGATTACATGCAGATGGGTCCGCCTCACCTCAGGGTGTTAACCACACTCTGTGTGTGTGTGTGTGTGTGTGTGTGTGTGTGTGTGTGTGGTGGCACGGAGGGGGGGGGGTAAAGGTTTGTGTGTTGATTCCTACCTTTTTATGGGCATCCGTTGATCCCTTTATGTGTGAGTGTGCCTCTTCGTATGGAAGGCTAAGCGCCATTTGCATGTGTGCGTTGGTGTTGAGAATGATGAGGAGTGAAGGGGGTTGTGGGGGTGTTGGTTGTGTGTGTGTGTGTGTGTGTGTGTGTGTGTGTGTGATTGCCTCTCTCCCCCCGAGCCGAGCAGGTGGTTGCCTCTGCCTTTTTTTGTATGCATGTGACGGCCGGTGTCATTGCGCCCGGCGGGCCGGCCGGTGACTGTGGGGAGGGGCTGTAATCACGCAGCCCGTTTACCATCATTACACAACCATAGAGGAGAAGCAACGTCTGGCACATCTGGTCATCTCCGCCACTGAGCCCACGCATCAATATGAGCACAGGCGCCGGGCGGCCGCAGGGATTTGAAGTGCGTCTCTTCTCGGATTGATTTGTGCTGTAAGCTCAGCGCCCTGCAGGAACCTTCAGGGGAATACGGGACCTTAGAGGGGACACGTCCATTGTCGGGTTCACGCGCTGGTTTGGTTTCCACCGGAACAAATACGGCACAAGCCAAAAAAAATGAGCAGATGACATCCGAAGCAGAAAACATCTAACGAGGGGAGCTTTGACCTCAGCCCAGCTGTGTCCAGTCTTTGTGCTAAGCTAAGCTAACCCTTCCCTTGTTGGTATCAGTCTTCTCACACAACGCTTAGGATAGGATGCTAATAAGCGTATCAGCTAGAAATGTTGAAATATCTTCTTCAAGCTTCAAGCCCCTCAACTAAGAGAAAGTACCAAAAAGTAAACTCTTAACAATCGAATTAAGTTCAAAAACAGTTTGTGTCTCAGTAATGAGCTAATTTCAATGATTAATTAATAGCAAACCAGGATTTTAATGTCTGAGCAGCAATCAGTGATTTTGTCGCCTCTCCATATAATTAAATTGACGTGTAAGTGCGTTTGGAGTTTGAGTTTTAATTACGAGTGTCATGAAATTGACACTTGCGGTCCGTCATTATCATAATTTGTTGTTCTTACACGCGACACTTTGCCTTGTTATTCTTTACTTTTCATTGTCGCACTGAAATCGCCGCTGACCGCCCTGCTCTCTTTGCCCCCAGAAGGAGTAAATACAGCAAAGCCAAGCAGGACTCAGACGAGGAGAAGCACCTGCATCAAGGTAAGTCGCCGTCAGCGCTCCACCCACACGCTCTGCGATTAGCGCTGGCAGGTGTGTTCGTGTGCGTGCACGCCAGACCGCAAATGAAGCACATAAAATGAGGGCGGGCAGGGGGCGGGCGGGGGGGGGACAGACTATTTTTGAAGTTAATGTACTTGCATCCTAACGTGCTCCAAACGCCTCATTATCAAGTCATCAGTGTTGCTGTTTGCGTTCCACAAAAAAAAAAAGGAAAAACAAATAGTTTCAGGTCAATGGGCTCCATCTTCACTGGTGACGTGCAAAGCGATGGAGTCGGAGTGTTAAGGGAGGCATGGGGAGAGGAAAGGAGGCGGTGTAGCCTGCAGCGTGATGGAAATAAAGAACAGATGGAGCGCACTCGCGGGAATAAATTAACCTTCATGTTTTGCTCTTTTGCTTTTTTTTTTTTTTGCTTCCTTCCCGTCGTTCCGAACGTCTTTCCCCAGGAGTGCGGATATACGTCGACCCCTTCACCTACGAGGACCCAAACCAAGCCGTCCGGGAGTTCGCCAAAGAGATCGACGCCTCCTGCATCAAGATCGAGAAAGTCATTGGCATCGGTGAGGCTCGGCGCTGTTTCATCTTATTATAAATGCGTTGTTGTAGCATGTTGTTAGACACTTTGGATAAAATCATCCACCTAATGGCAGAACAGTGCCGTTACTTACTTTTCATGCAGATGTTCTAATGTCTCTAATGTGCAAACTTTTGTGAATGTGAAACACCGTTTTCTCAGAAAAGCACAATTGGTCAACGAGTAGAAAAGCGAGTAAATAAAAATCTGAGGAGGCTGAATACGTTGTCTGTTCTATTCCGGTGGCCAAGAAAAGTCGTTCAATGACAAAATAGAAAAGAGAAAGAATCAATACCCATTTCCCCTCTCTCTCTCTCTCCGCTCCAGTGGGCGAGGGGAGGAGGAGGGTGAGGGATTAGAGACCCTGATCGATGTCAAAACAGTGGACCCCTTCTAACCTGCACGCGCGCACGCACGCCGCCGCGTCCTGCGATGTGATTTATAATCCCTGCGCTCTTATCGGGGGTTCTAGCTGCACGTTTTTTTTCCAACCCCCGGCCGTGCCTGATTTCAGGGGAGTTCGGCGAGGTCTGCAGCGGCCGCCTGAAGATGCCGGGCAAGCGGGAGATCTGCGTGGCCATCAAGACGCTGAAGGCCGGCTACACCGACAAGCAGAGGAGGGACTTCCTGTCCGAGGCCAGCATCATGGGCCAGTTCGACCACCCCAACATCATTCACCTGGAGGGCGTGGTGACCAAATGTATGTACGCTTCTAATGGGTTTACCTTCTATTGGGGCGACCGGGGCACGTTTCCCTCTTTAAGAAACCGTCGACTGTTCTGGAGAAAGGAAGTCGGAATGATAACATTTGCACGGCCAGAGGACAGACAGACAGACAGACAGCGTCCGCCGTCTGGAGGCCTGGAGAGAGACCTGCGGACATGTTTTGCACCGTGTGTCCGGGGTATCCCCAGGTGGGCTTCGTCCAGATGGAAGGGGGGATCCGGCCTGGGTGGGAAAGTGGAGTTGTGGTAGCCGGGCGTTGGGGGGGTTGTTGGGAGGGGGGGGTCTAATGGGTCCAGGAACAGACCCTGTAGCGCGGCACCAGGCTCATTAATCATGATGTCAGCTGTAAATGTGTTTGGGGTATAGGGAGTGATACCCTATCCCTCCTCTATCTGCTGCTGCTCGGCCACACAACCTCCCTCCCCTCTGCCCTCGCCCCCCCCCCCCATCACACCGCGATTGACTCAACACATTCTCCCGGTGCTTTCTGTCAGGAGCTGGAGGTGTTCGTGTATAGTGTGTGTGTGCGTGTATGTGTGCGTGTCGGCGTCCGTGCACCTTTGATTGCACGCATGTGTGCGTGAGTGTTGCCATGGCCGACGAGCTCTCGGGTAGATGGATGAAGTGCTTTAATGCGTCGTGACACACTAACAGCCCGCTTCTATCTGCGCTAGATAACTCTGTCTCCCCCACTGTCACTGCACACACACACACACACACACACACACACACCGCTCGCACACTCTCGCAGCCCAGCCGGAGCTGAAAGTGAACAGCAGCACGGGCAGAATTGCTTATCACCTATGACACAGGGAGGTGAGGGGGGGGTGACCTCGCAGACCGAGAGAGAGAGAGAGAGAGGCAGGGAGAGAGAGAGAGAGAGGGAGAGAGGGAGAGAGAGAGGGGGGGAAAAAAACAGGCGGACAGATGGGAGGAACGAAAAAGAAACCGGAGAGCAAGGAGCAAGTTGGGAAGGTGCAGATCGAGATGCGGAGGGGAGGAGACGGGAAGGTTGTTTGAGGGCTGATTAGAGGAAAGACAGAGGCAGGAGTACCGGGCCGGGGGCTGAATGGGGGCGGGGCGAGGCGGGGCGAGGCGGGGCGAGGCGGGGCGAGGTGGAGCGAGACATGACGCCGAAGCAGAAGAAGACCGATGCTTCACCTCCTCCATCCACCTCACTTTGGAGGACCTGGCAGAAGGTTCTGGGCAGATGAGATTTTTACACAGTGTCGTATAGTTGAATCAATTAAAAACCCATTATTTGAATGGCCCCCCCCCCCCCCTTCCACCTCCCCTCCCCTCTACAATCATGTTGAAAGGAATTCTCAATCTGGCCTCAGTTTGCTGGCATGTCCAACAGAGACAATTAAGCCGTATTAATTGCGGAGGGACTCCAAATTGAGGCTGAAATACCTAAATGAGGAGAAAACGGTCTCTCACAGGCTGCGTGGATTCTACGCTTCGGTCACGCGTGTGTAATTAACATCCAGCCATGTGTAACAGCTGATTTACATGAACTAAGAGGGTGCTAATTTACTGAAAAAAAAGCGAGATCTGCGTTTGAAAAGCCAGACCCCCCCTCCTCCCCTCCCTCTGCCGATATTGTCCCCCTGCTGTCCCGTCCCGTTTGGTTGGCAGGTGACCATCGGCCCGCTGGCCCACAGTTCATTGCCAAAGCCGGCAGGGCGTATTCAGTAAACAAGGAATTAGCATGCAAATGGGAAGGGAGGAAGGGGGCGGGGCCGGCAAGGCGAGAGTTTTAAGGTCGCAGGTCAGACGCTCCTCAGACTTGATTGGGGAGCTGTCAATCACCGGCGGCCCCCCCCCCCGGGGCCCGGGGCGGGCGACAAAGGGAACAAAGATGGCTGACAAAGAAGCGCTCCCCACCCCTCTCTCACCCAACTTTAACTCAACTTCCTCTTTTTTTGGGGGGGGGGGCATCGCCGGATCGGCCCGTGATTAATGGGGTGCCAATCACGCAGCGGGGGAGGGAGTGGCCTTTTGGCGAGCAGCGCAGGAGCTCCGCCCTCTCCAGACCCGGCGGGCTCTCAGATGTCCTTCTGCTGGAGATCTGTACACGACCCCCCCTCCCCCCCCACTAGGCTCTGGTCAGCACTTTTACGTCCACCTTGAGATGAGCGAGTGGGCTCTTCTGGGGGGGGGGGACTCTTCTTTCAGCATGTGTTGTTGCCACGGCTGGTTAGACACCATCTCGCTGCCATTTTGGGACAAGAACAAGCCTCCCTTGCTTTTCCTTTTCTCTCCTCATGACCGATACCCCCCCCCCCTCCCCCCCACCCATCCTAAGAGACAAAGACAAAGCCCACCAGGGACTGTCCGCCCTCCCCGCCGCCTGCCCGAGCTCAGATAAAGACACAGACGCTTCCCGAGCGAGACGGAGAGGGGAGGACAGAGGGACGAGGTGAAAAAGGCCAGAGAGGAGTCGCCGGAATGGGGGGTGAGACGAGGAGGGGTGAGACGAGGGGGGGGGGGGGGGGGGGATGAAAGGAGAGCAGCAGAGAGGAGCCGGCGGGAGAGTGACAGATGCGTGGAGAGTTGGCAGAGGAGAAAAGGGGCAAAGGGACAGTGAGTGACATAAATAGCGAGTCAGAGGGATTCTGGGTGAGCGACCGTGATGAGACTCTGGATAACGTGTCCAGCGTCACGTCACATTTGCATAAACACGCTGCGCGTGCGTGTGTGTGTGTGTGCGTGTGTGAGTGTGTGCGTGCGAGATGCCTTTGCGTGTGCAGAGGGAAAGTAAGTGGGACGTCTGGGCGACTGTAACACTGAGCTAATTAAATCACTACGGGACAGAGATGGATGGTCTCACACACACACACACACACACACACACACACACACACACTCTCTCGCACACTCACACTCACACACACACACTCACACACTCACACACACACACACACACACTCCAACCCGCTGCGTCGAGCCGTGATGTGCATCGCTTAGCTCTATAATCACCTGCCTCTCTCTCTCCTCCCCCCTCCCTCCCCCCTCCCCAGGTAAGCCAGTGATGATTATCACGGAGTACATGGAGAACGGATCGCTGGACGCATTCCTGAGGGTCAGTCCAGCGTCTTGTCTGTGCGGCGTGTTTGTGAACAAGCGATACGAGCCGAGCCGGCCGATCTCATCTTATCTCCCCCACCCCCCCCTCCCCGCCCCCGACACACACACACACACTCCCCCCATCCCTAAATAACAAGCATTCTTTCACAAACATTCGCCACTAATCCTTCGATTCCCAGGCTGAGGCTCAGTGCTGCGACACTGAAGTGGACAATCGTAAATTAAAGGGGGACACAAATATCTTTGGGCATTCTTATACCAACACGTGCTTTTTGAAAAGGGATTAGCTAAACAATAAAAAACACAAAAAACATTATGAAACTAACCAACAGTGGGACATGTATGAAACAGAACAATCCAAGCAGTAATATAAGCAAATGTCTACACGTCCTCCATCTCAACGCTGACACCTGCTCCCACAGAAGAACGACGGGCGCTTCACGGTGATCCAGCTGGTCGGCATCCTGCGGGGAATCGCTTCGGGCATGAAGTACCTGTCGGACATGAGCTACGTGCACCGCGACCTGGCGGCTCGCAACATCCTGGTCAACAGCAACCTGGTGTGCAAGGTGTCCGACTTCGGCATGTCCCGAGTCCTGGAGGACGACCCCGAGGCCGCGTACACCACCAGGGTGAGTGTGCGTGTGTGTGTGTGTGTGTGTGTGCGACTCAGCCGCGCTCCCACGCGTCGCCTCGTCGTCTCTCATTAATACCGCCCCGTCTTCTAATCGCAGGGGGGGAAGATCCCCATCCGCTGGACGGCGCCGGAGGCCATCGCCTACAGGAAGTTCACCTCGGCCAGCGACGTGTGGAGCTACGGCATCGTCATGTGGGAGGTGATGTCATACGGCGAGCGGCCGTACTGGGACATGAGCAACCAAGACGTAAGTCCGCAGCGATGACACGTGGAAAACACGCGGCTTGAATTAGGCTGGAATGTTCGCTCAGTTCCAACCTTCTCAAAAAGGCACTTTGTCATTTTCATCTTGGTTACTTAATCAAATTAAGAAAAAAAAAAAAGACGATTGTAATTCTCCGTTCAACAAACGAACCGATCATTGACCTCCCCTCCAGGTGATCAAGGCTATTGACGAGGGCTACCGGCTGCCCCCCCCCATGGACTGCCCCGTGGCGCTGCACCAGCTCATGCTGGACTGCTGGCAGAGAGAGCGGGCCGACCGGCCCAAGTTCGGGCAGATCGTCAACATGCTGGACAAGCTGATCCGCAACCCCAACACCCTGAAGAGGACCGGGGGGGACGCCACTGTCCGGTGAGCGGGGGGGGGGGGGGGGTTTTCCTCCCCATCTGGAGTTAATCTGAACAAACCACACAACAAATTCCCCTGGGGAAAAACTTTTTACAGGAGAACTAGCCCGTAAAAAATGATTGTTTTATTTTATGGATGGGGGACAATATTCAGGCACACCAGTGAATACACAACATTCAACTACACACACGCACACACACACACACACACACACACACACTCTGTCACTGGTGTGTTTACATTCTCCATTATCTACCAACGTGTGCCTCCTTTCAGCACAAACACCCTCTATCAAACTAGCTTTAATACACTCAGGAATGTAACAGGAAAGAGGTGTGTGTGTGTGTGTGTGTGTGTGGGGGGGGGGGGGGGGATTAGCATGTTACGCCGAGTTAAAAAACAAACATGACCCCTGCAGGTCCGACACCATTACTCTCGAGCGGCTAAGCGTGTTGAGAATGACCTGCGTGTGTTTACAGACTCGGGGTGAGATTCTGTCGGGGTTTAACGGTTTAACGAGTGTGTGTCACGCACACGCACGCGCACGCACACACACACACACACACGCGGCTGTGGTGAGAGCGAGAACGGGGGGGGGAGGGGAGGGTCCTCGTGGAGTAATTAGCAGAACTCTAACCTATAAATGCAGCTTTTACTGTTCCAAGAGGGAAAGGGGGGAAAAGCAGAATGTGTGTGTGTGTGTGTGTGTGTGTGTGTGTGTGTGTGTGTGTGTGTCTGTGTGTGTGTGTAAGGGATCCTTATGCAGAACCCTTTCCACCTACTGAGTAGAGAGGAGTTTCAGGAGTCTCGCACTCCCTTTTGTGAAGAGGGAGGTCGGTCTGCTGGTCGCGCGATAGTCAGGGACGGGGCTAATTCCTGCAGCGCTGCGCCGAATCGGTTCGCCGACGAGCGCGAGCGAGCGTTTTAACGTCAAAAGTCACCCGACTTGTCCAACGAAGACAGAACCAAACTTAATGCCCTGAAATTAACCCCCCCCCCCCTCCGCCCCCCTTTCCCTCTCCTCCACCCTCCAGGCCCAACACCACCCTGCTGGAGCCGGGCAGCCCCGAGGCGGCGTCGGCGGTGGGCACGGTGGAGGACTGGCTGCAGGCCATCGGCATGGAGAGATACAGCGACAACTTCACCGGCGCCGGCTACACCACCCCGGAGGCCGTGGTCCACATGACACAGGAGTGAGTGGGGGGGGGGGTTGTGTAGGAACAGGTCTCTTTACAGTGGCTGATGAAGAATGTGGTGAAGTTTAAATGGAGGAGGAATAATGGCCTAACACCTGTTTGATACTAAATGGCTGGTGTTGGCGTCCCGTCCCCATCGCAGGGACATGGCTCGCATCGGCATCACCATGGCGGCGCACCAGAACAAGATCCTGACCGGCGTCCAGGGAATGCTGTCCCAAATGCAACAGATCCAAGGCAGAATGGTTCCCGTCTGAGAGATTCAAACCGAGGAGCAAAAAAAAAGGAAATGGAAGCAAAGCGACTTTGTTTCTTATTAAAAAAAAATTATATAAACCAACAAAAAAGATTAAGTATAAAAAAAGAGACACATAAACTATGAAGAAGTAGTTTACTTCCATGCACTTTAAAATGGATCTTAAAAGCTGTTGATGAAGAAGAAAAAAAAAGTGGACGGAAATGGCACTTGTTTTTTTTTTTTTACAAAATCAGACCATTCATTATTTCGCCCACTTTTTTGTTGTTGTTTTCGTTTTGGAGGACGTGGCGCTTCTGTCTGTTAGACGTATGGACGGCTGGAAAAGTGCTTCCGAGAGTGCCTTTAATGGTGTGGAAGGGAAAGTGAGGGGGGGGGGGGGGGGGGCCGAATCTTGCCCCCCCCCCCCCCCCCCGAAAAAGGGTTTTTTTTGGAACCTTTTTTTTGGAAAAAACTGGGGCAAATTTTTTTTTTTGGGGGGGGGGTTTCCTGGTAATTGGTTTTTTTGAACTTAAAATTTTTTTGTGGGAATCCCGGGGGCCCCCCCCCCCCCCCCCCCCACCCCCCTTCCGCTGGATCTGTTTGATCAAAAATGGACAAAATGGAGGATCCCGGCCGCCGTTTGAAGACAGTGAATCTGTGAGAGGTTGCGGGTTGGATTCCGAGGTGCAGGCGGAGGAGCTCAGTCCGAGGAGCTTTTTTTGTTGTGTTTCTTGCTCCCTTCTGGCCTGGTTCTTCTCCCAGGACGCTGTCTTTTGTTGCCCTCAGGACGTGACTAAGAATGTCTCCGATCTTCCAGAGGAGCCGTCCCACTCCCCTGTCTTCCCGAACAAAATGTCCTCCCGAACCTCTGAGAAAACACACAATTTGGATTCTTCCATTCACCCCTCTCCCCCCCCTGAATGGAATCCCTACTCTGCAGGAACCATCCACTCTTCCTCACCAGCTATTTGTACCGGCGCTATTGGCTTTCCCTTAAGTGGACACGAGAATGAAGGAACGCATTGGCGGGATTTTTACCTGGACGGAAGGATTGTCCACACGGATGCAGAAGGAGTCAGAACCAACAGCAGCATCATCTCCAAGAAAAGAAAATACACAGAGGGATTCTCAAACCGCCGCGAAGGTGAGGATCAATACCATGTCACTTGTTTTTTACTGTGAGCCGCGGCTATTAAAGTAACACCAAAAGCATCAGCTACGTCAAGCCACAGAGTGCCTAAAAGATTCATTACCCCCCCCTCATCACCGCCCCCCTCAGCTACAGAAACTGTGTTAATTAACAACTGGGCCGCGACACTTCAGGCCGATCAATAGTCTGTGATCAGTCTGCGGTGCTGATGCTGCTGGCGTGTTAATGAGAATTAAGAAATTAATTAAGAATTAATCAGCCAATCAGAGCCCACCACAGCTCGGGAGTAATGCCGCCAGGCGACAGGGGGAAGGATGAAAGCACAAGATCATCACATTTCAGACGTTCGGTTGACTGAAAAAAAGTCAATTGTGAAAAAAAAAAAAAAATGAAATATTTATTTAATTTTCTGTTGATTGACACACAATCAAGTAACTGTTAGAGCTCTACTGGGGAATTTTGGATTTAAAAATGAGGATAAAATCTATATTAATAATAATTAGGATAAGATCTATATTAATAATAATTAGGATAAAATCTATATTTCACAGTTAAAGCGAAGAGCTTGTTTCTGAACCTTGGACCCTAAAGGTCGCCCTGCTGTAATTCATCATATTCCCGCCTGAGGAATGTTGAAGGCTTCATTTCATTTGGCCAATAAGTCAAGCCCCCCCCCCCCCCCCTCTCTGCAGACTCCATTTCATCAGAAGAGTTGAATGTTCATCGGTCTGGAGGCGGAGAGACGTGGTTGGTCGGGAATGGATGCCAAGTGTGTATTCAAAAACTGATAAAGCCTCTCTGTCTCCCCCCCTTTGTCCCCCCTTTCTCTCCCGATGCAGCTCTCCCCCTCCAAACAGGATCCCGCTTTTCGGCTTTTGACGTGACCACGCTTCTTCCTCATCGTCTTCCTCCTCCCGCCCCCCCCCTGCCGACTCATTCGAGTCTCCTTCCGACGCCGAGGATGAAATTTAGAAGAAAAAATAAAATCACACCCTCGTGCGTCCGGGACGCCGCAACACGTCGACCCGGCGGACCAGAGTCTCGTGGTCATCCAGCGAACGGGCTGGAATTACTATGAATGATTTTGACAGCTTGAAAATAAAAAAGACACTACAAAGAATGTAATATAATGGAGAAGCCCTGCTCCAGTGGACAATGTACTTTTATTTTGAAAGTTACATTTTAGTTTTTTTTACTTTCTATTTTCATTGTTTTGTTGTGTTATGTGTAAAGTAACAAACGTTTGTTTTGAGCGTGCGAATGACTCGTGTGTGTGTGTGTGTGTGTGTGTGTGTGTGTGTGTGTGTGTGTGTGTGAGTGAAAACGTCTTTGAAGTACTATCAGTAATTGTGTCGGTTTTAAAGCCACTTTCGAGGAAGTGAAGATGACAGAAATTTACAGTTTTTAAACGTGAAAAACTGGACTGTTATTTCTTTCTTTTCTTTTTTTCCCGCTTTCGTGTCATTAAGAAAATCAACAAAAACTTGGTCAGCAGTGGCATTTATCTGTGGACGCACGGGGGGGGGGAGGAGCTCCGTCTCCGTGGTAACAGTTTGAGATGACGCCCCTGGAGGAAGATCCGAGCAGTGAGGTGAAGGTGTCTAAGGAGGGAAATCTGATGGGTTATTTTATTTGTATTTTTCTCAGAGCACATCATACAGGTTTAACCCACCGGACTATATCCTTGTTTTTCCCTTGAAACTATACTTATGCGAATGTTTCTGAACTCGTCATATAATACAACACCTCCGTCCTTAATACAGCTCTACTGCTCTTTCTTCGTTCTTTGGCAATGCGTCGTTCTTTTAGGGTTTTTTTTTCTCTTTATTCGAAAAGAAAAAAGGACCTGTTTGGAAAATATGCAAGACATGTTGGGAAGGAGAAGGAAACCAGAATGTACTGTAAAATACTTCTTTCCTTTACTTAAATGTTGGACATTTGAAGAAACAAAAAAAAAAAACAAGTAACAAAAAGCCAGAGTTAATGTTTGTCATCGTATGCCTTCCGTTGCCATATGATCTAAACATGTAGATCTAACGTTCTCTCAATCTTTATTTGTCATTTTTTATTTGACATGATGACATGTTTTTCTTTCTTTGCCTTGTTTGTTGTTTTTGTCAAGGAGCTCTAGGTACATGTAACTTATGTCATTTATTTATGTCCTTTTATATCTAGTTTGTAAAATAATAGCCTAAAGTGAAGAAAATAAAAGGGGGTGCCAAAGTGCATTCTTAATAAAGTAGAAACCATACGACGATCTCCCCGCCTCTCATTCACACACACACACACACACAAACACACACACACACACACACATTGATCACTGCAAACGTAACCTCTTTCTTTGGCTCACTGTGATCCAGCGGACCGTCAGGCGCTCGGCTGGTATCACGACTCTCAGACTTCTGGCCCCTCGATCTCCACTCGGGCCCCACAGCGGCGTGCGAGCGCCACTCGCTCGCCGTGTTTGCGTTTGTGTGTTTAATCAAAACGACATCTGCTTCCTGCTCGCGCTTCCAGCAGCGATAAACCACTGATTGTCCCGGGGTCTTTGATAAGGCCGCCGGAGAGAGAGAGAGAGAGACAGAGAGAGGGGGGTGAGGAGGTGGGGGAGAGTTTTAGAAACGGAGCTGCAGAGCCGAGTGGCGGTTTACACGTTTCCTGAGAAATCACCAGCACAATGCGCGCACGCATTAAAGCTCTGATGTTTGCACAGCGAGATGCTTATCGGCCTCGAAGGGAAAGTGTGCCTCCATCGCCGACTGTTGGCAGGCTCGGGGGGGGGGTTTGTGAGGCCGAGTTTGATGAATTTGCCCTTAACTGAGAACATTTTTTGGTGAAGGTTTGCAAAGCAGCGGCCTCCAGTACTCCAGCACATGAACACACCACAGATGGTGGAAAAAAAAATGACCATCCAGTATTTTTGCCGATTGCTACGATTGTTTTTTTTGCTAAAATGTTAAAATTTCCGCTTGATGATCACTAATAATGTGACTCAATCTCCATTGACCCAAATAGCCAATTACCCAGAGAGGGTTTTATTCAGACTTATAGTTGGTGACGACCGAGGCTCCGGCTGCTTTGACTGACAGGTGGGTGTCGTCTCAGACTCTTTGGGCGGCTTAGAGTTTCCAGATATGATTTGATTTAATCTGATTACATTTTCAGGTTGCAGCTGGAGAATACATTGGACAGCTGCGTCCTTTGGGTGCTGGTATTTGATTGGAAACCCTTGGATTGGGGCCAAGGAAACCTCGGTGGTATTCCCTACCAACACTATTTCAATTCTTTGCCACTTCCACAATCTCTCGCCAGCATCAAACATTCCATATTCCTAAAAGGTCGTGTTGTATTTCTTTGTTAGGGTTCAAAGGACTCTTAACACTTGTCTCCATCCAAGTTTAATTCAGTGAAGCCACATCACACCGGCCGCCACATGAAGAGGCTTAAGTCAAGAGACAACAATCCTGCCCCGTCTGACCCCCCCCCGACACACACAGCCAGCAGCCTCCATCGCTTTTGTCAAGCGATCTAATTAAGAAAGCTTCAGGTGAAGTGCCAGCCCTTCAAACCGGCTTAACCCCCGCCGCCCCGTGCGCCGTCTCCGCAAACCCGTCCTTTAGACCACTTTGTTTCATAATTCAATTTCCTGATTCCAAAGATAAAACCCCTCCCGGCCCGTCCTCTAAGCCAATCACAATGGGACGCCAGGCCTCACACTGACATTGTGATTACTCCCGTCCTTTTGAGTTGTCGTTTCTAAGCACGTCCTTAAATCCACACAATATGATAATCCATAATCCAAACGCTTCAATCTTAATCCTCAGATCCTCTAAATCCAAGTCTGGAGTTTTTCTTTTCTCGGCTCCCCAGGTTATTGTTTTGCGTTTTCTCTCGAAGGGAAAGGCGCTTTTAGAGGAAAACGGAGTGCTGTTGTGACGTGGTGGGAAATATTTGACGAAGGGGAAACAAAGAGAAACGCTGTGGAGAGAAAAACCACCGGAGCGGAAAGTTCCCCAGTTGGGAAAAAAAAACCCCGGCGGAGCCTCTCGATCGATCGAAGAGGCTTCCAGCATGGAGCTGACCTTGTGTCTCCTTCCCCAGGTGTACTTCTGATGGAAAACACACAAGCACTGATACCCATAAAATGCCTACGTCGGATCGAAACGGGGGCACATTCTGGCAGCGGCAGAATGTGTCTTGATTTAGCCGCGTTTGAACCCTCTGGTCTGCAGGAACCATCGCCGACAACACGAAAAAGCACTTACGGGAGGATCGTCGGTCGCAACCGGCCTGAAGGCAACAGAGAAAGAGCTCTGAGTTGGCGACGAAGGAGAAGAGGGAGAGAGAAGCCAGTAAACATCTGTGGCCACTTCGGTCAAGATGAGTCAAGATGTTTACGTCATTGGCAGCAGATCTGAGAGCATTTGCTCAAGGACACTTGAAAGTCAGCACCAAAGATGTCCGCCTAGACTTCTTGGTGCGTAGATTTCCTCCCTTAAACTCGATATTTGGGGGGGTGAAGTGACTCAGAACTCCAAGCCCTGGAGTCCTAGCCCTGAACCTCGGTCTAAAAGGTTGGGAGGACTTAAAGAAAGACGTTGACGTCAAAGTCCAAACCACTTGCTGGTCCTTCACGCAAGCTGCTTTTTATGGACAAAACAAAGTCCATTGTTTGACAGCAACGACTGCGGCAAACCCTAAATTGGTACGTTTCACTCAGAGCCAAAGTCACCAAACCAAGAATAGCCTTAAGTAAGCAGCGTTTGCCCCCCCCCCCCCCCACCTGCTTTGTGGGGGTAACCCTCCGTGATCCACAGGGTCTGTTGGTCTGTTGGACCTGAGAACGAGGTGCTTTATCTGCCGCACCAGACTAATCTCACCTCCGGGCCAAGGGGGTCCCGCGGGTGGGCCGTTCCCAAATGAAGGCGCAGGGAGGTCACCTACTTGACCACTCGACCGCTCCTTATCCCGACCCACTGCCGGCCCCACCTGATAGGCTGACCTTTGACCTACAGACGCCGCGGCCAGATCCACACACAAACATGTTTAATCTCCAGAGCACAGCACTTTTCCTTTGCCACCAGGTCTCTGGGGGGGGTTACAGAGAGAGAAAGTACGAGTGGGTGATGTGGATTAGGCTTCCATCTCCGTCGGCGAGATTAAGGTTAATCAAGACCACGACCCCCCCCCCCCCTCACTGCCTCCCCCCCTTCGGTGTCCTGTGGGCGGCCCGATGAAGGTCCAGCAGGCTCGAGCAGAAACCCGATTATCACAGTGAAATGTAATCAAAATCCCCTTTGACAACCACAGGATGGACGGAGACGGACAGGTCCGCACATGTAGAAAGACAAAGTGAGACAAACCCATATTTTATTTCAAAAGTTAGGATCAAAAACAAAAAAAAAGGAAAAGAAAGAAACGTCACGACACAACGGACACGTCCGTCATCTGCTGGTTTGAGCCCAGCGGGGAGACGGGAGGCCGGTCCGGGCTCGGGCCTCGTCTCTGTGGACCGCTGACAGCACCCAGATTCCTATCACGGATCACATGCGGGCTACAACACATGAGAGCCTCCACACACACACACACACACACACACACACACACACACACACCAACCACAATGTCTTAATCCTCGCTTTCCAGCAAGCTGGAGGATGGAATTACAATAGCACCCATGCCAGGAGATCCTGCTACAGCGTTCGGTGATAAGATCACAAGTAGAGAAATACAGTTTTTGCTTCATGCTCGGCGTTTTTTTTTTTTTCTTAACATTTGTACGTGTGTGTTTGTGTGATACAAGATAATCCACTCGTGTTTTGAGTAAAAAAAGAAATCCTTATATTTCATTACTTGTTTTAACACTTGAAGAAAGACTAAATCGTAGTATGTGGCATAGATGAGTGATAATAAGATGAATTAAATAATGTAAAACAGCGTGAGACACAAACAATAAATACCAGATATAATAAAAACTCTAAAAAGGACCTGGAAGTAATACTACTAATACTACTTCTGCTTCAAATAGTACCGTACTGTGGTGGAGTTCATTTTGAGCACTTTAATCGTCAGGCTAAATGAACTCGTCTTGCCATTCCGCATCAGGTTGAGCGTTTCCACGTGTTAATCAGGGGCCACATTCGATATCAGTCATTTCTTCGGCCTTGGTATGATGTCGGCTCTGAAAGAAGCGCCGAGGACCAGCGTTGCCTGAGGGGAGACTCACCATGAATCACGACCAATGAGGCCTCCCGTAAAGCTTTTTGACGTGATTGGCGGATCACTCTGAGCGGGTCACATCGAAGAGGGTCGAAAAAAGCCGATATTTACAATACGTCTTGAGCTGTGCGACAAACTGCTTCTCCAGGGGCGATTCCCCGCCTGCTGCACGCCGGGAAATAAGCTGGAGAAATGATTGAAAATGAATGACTTGATGAAGTGTCCGTTCCCGCAATGTTCCTGCCCATTTTCTGCCGGTTGGAAATGAACAGAAGCCACGGAAGAGGGAATCGCACAGAGCGCTTTAAGTTGCTGTGTAGCAGGAGAGAAAATAGTGAAGCAACAAAGCTCAGCGTGTTTTTTGGGGGGTCATTGAGCGATAATTGAATTCTTCATAGCCGCTGTTGACCTGCGCGCTCATTTACAGCACTTTCGTCCTGCCTCGCTCAGCTTGCCTCCTTTTAGACATCATTCAAATTTCTGATCTGTAGCCCCTCCCCCTCCCCCTCCCCACCCATCCCTCGGGGTGAGGGATTCTGGGCCGGGTTCCTCACCCATACACGACCCCATCGACTGAGCCGCCCTCCGCTGGCTAAATGATTGATGCTCGCCTTTTCTAACTAGACTCCCGGGTCCAAAAACAACTAAGGGCCAGTCGGCTGCAGCGTGTGTGTGTGTGTGTGTGTGTGTGTGTGTGTGCGCGCATGTATAATCAGCCCGGGAGACTCAGTAAAAATATATGAAGAGGAACGAGGCAGAGTGTGTTTGTGTGTGTTTGCGAGAAAATGTGCCGTCGGGTATAAAAGTTAAAGCAGGAGGCCCTCTTAGTTAAGGTGCACACACCTTTTGGAGAGTGTGTGTTTGTGTCCCAATCCCAGTGCACGTTGATCACGCGGGCTTCCCTGCGTGTGTGTGTGTGTGTTTTTGTCGGTGTTGTTTGTCTGCGTCGGCGTGTAGAGGAGGACCACACGCGCTTTGACACTGAATCGCACAGCCCATTAGGCAGCTATGAAGAGGTCAACGGGGAACGCG